ATATATATCAATGAATATATCTTTCGTCTTATTCCTAACGTTAAATGCCTGAAAGGAAAATAAATGTTTAAAATATATATTTCATGAATAGGTATCAAAAGTTGTATTACATTTTTATTTCAACTGTTGCAAAATATTTACTTCATAATTTACTTGAAAAGAGTATTTTATCCTGGTAAACGTATACTGTTTCAACAAAAGAAAATGATGTTTTCAAATCCTCATGCACAAAAATATAGCAGCAATAAATTGGAAAATAAAATACATTGAAAAGGGGTAGATACTTGTAAAAAACTAAAATTTATCAAAAAGAGAAATTAAAATCTTCTAAAAATAAAAAAAATGTTAAATTAATGCAATTTTTTTAATGTTTTGGATTTTATGTTGTACCAGAAGCAAGTTGTTGTGCTCGTAACGCTTTCGTGATACATTTTTTTAACAAAAGCCCTGCACGCAAGGTTTATTCGATAAAAAAGAAATGCCTTACAGAAAATCTAATTAATGTGTCTAATTTAAGTATTGAATAATACCGAAAATCTGAAAATCATCTCAAACTCTGATTACAGTGTTTCCAGTTAACTATAAAATGAAATAAAAAAGTGTACCTTTAATCTATCTATCAATAATATGAATTATATCCTCTTGAATGACTGAAAATCGTCACTATAACTGTATTTTGATGCCGATTATATTGCGAGACACACAACGTAACATTTTGCTTGTTTCGTCTAATACAATTTTACGGATCATTTTTATGAATATTTTTCATTTCAAATCATAGCTTTAGCTTCTGTATCCTCTATTCTAAAAGCACTTTTAACCATTAAAAAGATAACTAGAATAATTTAAAGGTTTTTTAAAAGGGTTTACTTATATTTTAACATAAAAACAAAATTCGGAGTACTAGGTTGAGTAAGCTCATGACTCGACTCGTGTGAATAAATTAAAACTCTCCGTTTCTCCTTTAATGATGCACGAAATGAGGAAAATAATTAGTATAAAAGTAAAGGAATTGATCAAATGGATCGAGGATTATGAAAACACGTAAGATAATTCTACTTTTTAAGCCAGGTATTATTTAAATATGAGTTCTTAAGGTTAATGAGAAAGTTTTGTAAAGTGTTACTTATCTACAAAATTTCGAAACGTGGTGAAAGTCTTATACACACCAAATCCTAAATTAAAGTGTATTTAAATTCAAAATTTCAATTAAATATTTTACTAGAATTCAATGAGAAGTCTTTTAACGTAATATAGAGAGCATACGAGAGATGAAATAACAGTTTATCTTCCGATATAATTTCAATTTCTGTCAGTTTTAATATCTCAGAAATGTAGGCCTAATAAGTAATCATACACTCAAACACATGTGTATATATTACACACACGCGTGTGTTTATTTCTTTCTGAACCATTTATGGCACAATAACCTACTTTTGATATAATAAAAAATAAAAAGTAATTCCTAAATTTTATAACTAAGCTTTCTAAATCTATATAAAATTCCTAGCAGCATTATTTTGCTCGTTATATTTAGGAGCTTACTTAAAATTTTCGTATCCTAAATCTGGTTTGGAAGAAAGAGAAACTTAAAAGTAAAGGCTTTGAGGATAACAAGAAAAATACTAGCTAAGTAAAAAAAAAGTAAAATTTTAATAACTGATATTGGAGACTAAGTTAATTATCCTGTATGAAATAAAATAAAAAGCTTAGTAATAGTTATAAAGTTGAATATGAAATTTTAAAATGCCCATACAGTTTTAATATAAATTAGTTGAAATATTAAAGATGACAAGGGATGCTTAAAAGAGATGTTTTTCAAGGGAGACGCTTTTCTTTAGTTTTAAAAACCGTAACACTTGTAAAATGTATTCCATTCAACTTCTAGAATGTTTGTTGCATCTATCATCCATTAGAATGAATTCCTTTGGCTTGTAATTAAAAATTTCAAATCAAATTATTTTCGTTTCACGATAGAGATAAGTTTAAGAATACTAACAAAAGAAAAGAGATAAGTTAATTTTCAAAGATATGTTATCAAATCGCTCTTGTTATGTAATCTATTATCCTGCGCTTCTCCTACGTACAGAGAATTACTTGCGAACGAAGCAAGTTTATTTATTAAAACTCTTCCCCCAAACTATCTTAACAATCTGTAAGAGTTTGTAAATCCAGATTCAAAAAATACGTTTTTCAAAAAATGTCTTAATTGTTGTATCTATTTCTTGAATGTTCCAACAATAATACATTCACACACATACTGGTGTGAATATTTATTCTTTATCTGGGGGCATATATATATATATATATATATATATATATATATATATATATATATATATATATATATAAAAGAAATATGTATTATTTAACAAAAACAAGAAATAATAAAGAACATAACAAGAAATAGCGTAATAAAAATATAAAAGCTGAACATGAAGAACAAAATTATAGAGAAATAAAAGAACTACAAAAAAGAAGAACCTAGCGAGTCAGAAAGCAATTTCGGACTTAGGACCGAATAAGTGGGGTTAAACTAGTTTGAAGGCGCCAACCTTCCCCCTTTGCAACTCGGTAGGAAAACCAAATAAAATAAAATAAACAAAACTTCAGAGAAAGTATAACTCAGAGAGCATGATAAAACCAATCACTACTTTTATGTAACAAACTCTCAAACTCTTAATGCAGAAAAATCACAAAATCACAAAATAATTATGTAAGAAAAATAGAAAAATATACTAGAACAATTACATAAGAAAAGTATCTTTCAAAAAATAATTTAACAAAATTTCTTTACTCACAAAGCTTTTACGAAGAGAAACAAGCATCTTGCCATTAATGAAAGTCAATTATTCACCAAGTTAAAAATTCGAAAAAAACATAAACACATCTTTTGAGCTGATTTTTAAACCAGCCAGCAAAGACAAGTATAAAATGACAACAATCAAATATGGTAAAATTTGAATTGGTTGATTGTCAAAAATGTAAATTTGCTAGGATTTAATTTGGTTGGTTGTCAACAATGTGTAAGATGTTTAAGATGTGTGTGGAAAAAATGTAAACTGTGATATGAGTGTTATGATATAATCTTCACAGCAAGACCACTAACATGCTGACTTTGAAAACCTATTGTTGTGTGGTGGATTTGGAATTCGAAGTAGCAAGACGGTGTATGTATGTATGTATGTATGCATGTATGTATGTATGCATGTATGTATGTATGCATGTATGTATGTATGCATGTATGTATATATATATGTATATATGTATGTATGTATGCATGCATGTATATATGTGTGTATGTATATACGTATGTCTGTATATATATATATAAATATATGCACGTATATATATATATATATATATATATATATATATATATGACAGATTTATTTTATATAGATCATTTAATCTAAAAATTACCAAAAATGACTGAGATAAATAGAAAAACTGTTTTCAGTCAATAAATACTTACGCTTATAATATTAAAAACTTCTATTAATAACTTTCTTTCTGAAGAGAATTTAAAAACAATCTTAATATCTAAAAAAAAATGTTAGGAAAGAGTTCAAATTATTTTTATTCTCTTGCGCTATAATGAATTACTATGCCTCATAAATATGCACTTCTGCCAATTAATTTAGTGCGCAAAGGGTTAATGAAACATTTTATGTATGATCAGTCCTTCTTTATATTTATTTCACATTGAAATTTATCTACATCAAAGGAAAGAAAAATCTGTTTCAACATAAGAAATCGGATATACTCAATTAACGATGTAAACTCTGAAAAACTTTCAGACTTACAAAAATGAATAATAAAAACTATTAACAGTATGTAATTAAGGAGTACAAACTGTAAATCCTATTTCTTGCTCTATTACACCGAAGCAAATCCCTTTGAGCATGTTTTGTTATTATAACTTGGTCTTGTATTTAGTGCTCTACCTTGTAAACTAATCCGTATTTGAGTGATGATAGACTTCAGATTCTTCGGAAAAGTGCACTAAGAGATTTCACAAAGACAACGTTGACAACAATAATCTTTTAGAAGATTGATGACAAGGGAGAAAGCAATTTTTAAAATGACTACCGAGAGCATTCATTTAAAAACTCGTCAAATTTAGCTCTGTGGATTAATTATAAGACAGTTAAAATAAAAGGAAAACTTCTAAATATATTCTGAGCAAATTAAATGTGTAAAAAGCAATAGAAATAAAATACTGTCACGATAAATCCTTCTTAACTAAAATGTGTACAAAGAACATGTGCATGGGTATGTCATACGAAACACTGCAGGACATGTTTAAAATATTACTTCAGGTTGAAATTCCGATATTATTAAGGATTTACAAACATGATGAGCAAAAACAGATATGGATTTATTTAACATAAGATTTTTTAAATTATTTGCTTTTTATACACAACAATGAAAATAACCTTTTACATCATTTATCAGTCATTTAATTACGTACATCATGGGTCCAAGAAACTTTATTAGTAAAAGGAACTCAAATATTTTGTTATTATTATTATTAAATCAAATATTTTATTTGGGGAATTAAAAGTTATTTTTTGTTCTAATTTTTTCAATGAATACCAGAAAAATCCTATATTGTCCTTTACACCATAATTTTTATATGAATATTTATGTGTATTTGTATAAATACACACACACACACACACATATATATATATATATATATATATATATATATATATATATATATATATATATATATATATATATATATATATATATATATATATATATATATATATATATATTGTGCTCAAATTTTCAATCGTTAATAAAATACTTTCTATTCATCCATTCAAATTCAAAAACATTCTTTTAAACTTTTAGAGGATTACACTCTTGATGTTAATACAGTTTTTTTCAAGTATTAATTCCTTATTTAAATTTAACAAAATGAAGAAATAGTGAAAAACAAAAATAATAATCCAACACCGTATATAGAAAGGAAAATTGTTCGTTGTGTCCCTGTAGCGCAATGGATAGCGCGTTGGACTTTTAATCCAAATCCCATCGAATCCCACCTGGGATGGCCTATTTTCTGAGAATGTGATTTCTTTTTCACTATACTATTTTATTAGAATAATTAAATTTAATTAATGAATAAATATCAACAAACAAACAAAAATAGCCAACTCACTTAATATTGTGATTCTGTCACATTTATATTCATTGTAATTGTTTAGTAAAAAGTAACTAAAATAAAATTTTCTTTGTTGACCAAAATAGGAATTGACTTAATTTTTTTATATTACTTGTTTATAATGCGTTCATACAGGTACAATTGCAAATTGATTAAAATACATCACTTTTAACAAAACGTCACCTCGTAAAATTTCAAGTTTAAAAGTTTTCTTTTTAAGATATTTTATCAAAACTTATATAATATTTACTTAATATATACTTTAAACAAAATAGCAATTCCGCCAATAATTATTTAGCTAAAACATCTGAACAAAATACACAGAAAAATCATGACTATAATAAAATGCCTGTTTAAATAAAGCATTTAAACTAATCCAAATGTGAAAAAGGATGAAAAACTGCTTTATCTGAATTAAAGAATGGGCAAGAAAAAAAAACATTAGATTTAAATAGGCCTGATCTTTACTTATGGGGGATGTATTCACACACACATAATGCTATTCCATTTTATTTTTATGAAAGAATACTGGCTATATTCCAAGAAATAGTATTCAAAGGCATATTCTATATTTGATTTCAATGTTCCTTGGGACACATAAAATCTGTTACAGCAGAAGCTTTTAGAGACTGCGAACCTCTAAAAATATGAGCAAAATGCATTGATAACTGCCCGAATTAACCGCCTTTAACAGAAATCGAAGCAGAAAGGGTGTATTTCACGCAACGAAATCGATTTTATATACACACTGCACGAACTCAAAAGCGAGTGTTTTGGTTCGCTAAATGAATTAGATCACTCATTATTCCCCCAAAGTAATTTGCGAGAGTAAATTTATTTAGAGAATTAGATCTATTCACGCACTTCTGAATGCGTGGGGTTTATTATAATGTGTAAATAATTCTCGTTCTTTTTCCTTGGTTTAACATAATTGACATTCAAAAATGTGTCTGTATTTTTATAAGCGAATGCTTCTAAACTTTATCAAAAGATTAATTTTAAAATCACATCGCAATTGAGAAATCATTATTAGATATGAGCTCCTTGAATTAGAAATGGTAAAATCACACCGAAGAAGTGAAAAGTCTTAATATGTAGTTTATCTCTTAAAGTATGAAATGTTTATCTTGATATTCAATACTATACCTATTATTCGAAATCCTTTTCATTAAAAATTCTTATTACATAATTAACATTAACAAATTGTTTATGGTTGATCAAAATGAGTTTTTAATCCTTACTAATTGTAAATGCAGTGTAAGACATAAATTACATCCTTTTTTCAGTGTTTGACTAAAAAATTATTATTTTATCATCTTAAAACAACTGCTTTATTTTTGAAGAAAAAAATAAACTAATGTATGACTTTAACAGTATAATATGGAAACAATTTTTTTAAGAAATCAAAAAGATGGCATTGCATGCTAGAAAAATGTTTTGAAAATAAAAGTCTAATCACAACACCAACTTTGAAACATAAAAAATAAAGCTCTGAGAAATAATTGTTTACTAATACGGTCGTCCAAGGATCTTATCTTGGATTTAATGAAATGGAGCAAATGACATATTTTCGCAAGTTTATACGATGATTTTGGAGCACCAATTATGATACAAAAATCTCCCACTTAAAATATTTCTTGTCTATTACCTTTATTTTAATTTTTAATTATTTCCAGAGATTTTTGATTGTATGAATAATTTGTCTTTCTAATGTCCGTCCTATATATATTCAGGGGTTTTTTATATTGAAATTATATTTATTAGTTTGGAACAGCATGAAGTAATGTAATCATATCAGAATAGAATATATATAGAATTTGAATTTCCCTCTGTAAATAATATTTCATCATGACATTTAAAACTGCTCTCCTGAAACAAGAATGATCAGTTATGGCATTGCCAATGGTAGAAAATTCGAATATATTTTGCTTAAAAACTTGCATTGCAATTTTGATAGAGAAATTCGTGATTTTTCTTGATATATACACTTTTTGACTTGAGAAAAAGGTCTAAATTGCCTTTCATTTATCCTATTTAAGATATATATATTTACCAAGGTTTGTATTTTTTAAAAACATCAAATATTTCAATATTTTGTCTTCAATTTCAGTAAGAAAAGTGTATATGTTGGCCATTGAGTTTCAAAACTTAGAGATTTGATTCTTGTTTCTTAACTTTCAATCAAAAATTACTCATTTCTTTCAAAAATTGAGCTGCTTAGTTCTTTCTAATGTTGTTATTGGTCCATTTGTGTTATTTTGTTCTGAATTCGAATTGTACAGATCACGTTAAATGTTAATTATCTTTGGTCGATAACCTCTGTATCAGCGTTCTAACTCGGCAGACAGTGCTACCAGATCCTGGAAATAATTATGTCGAATTGCGGTGGGAAAAAAATTACTAAAAATTTTATTGAATTAGGTCTTCTCATATAGATATATAAATAATTAACAAGACTATGGTCTATAAAAGGTTAAGAACCACTTCTCTGGATTCTGAAAACTGTACCCTTTTCTTCATTATATAGTCTATAGTAAAGAAAATTCTTTTTTTCTCTCGAGATGATACTTTCAAAACTATCACAATTTTTTCCTATTGCCATTCATTTGTAATACAGCTACAATTTGTTCCCTTTTAAATTAATTTCATAAAAAAACAGAATTGGAAAAATATTAAATCTCAACACATATGCGTATTATATAGTTCATCTTTAAATTAGTTTTAAATTCTATCCTTAGGATCAAATACTCACAATGGCTCATAAGGAAGCGAATATCACCAAGAAAAGAAGATGAAAAAAATTACTAAACCATTGTTTTTATTATAAGTTTGTATCATGCATACATCAATGGTAAATAAGCAAGTAGGGAAATTCAGCGGAAAAAGACGTTTTCATTCAAGATTCTCAATTTCGTTTACTTTTTTAATCTTTATTTATAGGTATACATTTATTTTAAATTAACAAATATTCGATTCATGTTCACATAATTCATAATGAGAGTACACGAATAAAAGAATTGTGTGTGTTTAACTCTTTTTTTTAAACCAAAACAAAAAATTTTAAAATATAAAAAAGACTGAAACCACTAAAAATATATCTTATATAAGAGGAGTTTAAGTGTATTGATTTTTATTTCGAAATCCATAGGAAAAAAACCATTTTTTTTTTTTTTTGGAAATTGAAGGCGATTATCGATTTTACAATTTCACTCTAAATCTAAAGCACATGATTGTAACAAAATAGAGTGATCTTTACAAAATACGCTAAAGCATTACGTTTTCTTAATGATTGATTTTACTAAAGCTCTTACTACAAGATAGAAAGTAAATTGTAAATACACTTACTCGAATAATTTAATTAATATGGTAAAAGCAATGTTTCACGCATTAAAAATTGTAAAATGATTATTCATTTAAACTCAAAAAATGTTTGTTAAAATACAAATTCATAAAAAAAAAATTTCTGTTTTTATTTCATTCTTTTAAGCAAATTTAGTTTTCATAAATCAATCAAAGTAGTTATTTGATTTTGAATATAAATTCATTTTGCAATTTTAAAAAGGATTCTGTTGTATTAAAAATTCTAACGTATTAATAATACCACTACTATTTTTTGCAGAAATTTTTTTATAAAGCAGAAAATACAATACTTGTCAGTTATGAAAAAAAGTATTAAAGCAAAATTATAATTCAATTCAAAGAGTTTTTATCAAATTTCATAAAAATATTAACTACAGATTGAACAAAAAACTCAATGCTTTTGAGTTTTCGACTTTATGTACCGAATCATATTTATGGTTTACAGATGAATCCGAAAAATTTTAAAAATTAATCACTCAAAAACGAAGAGGGAAAAAATGCAATATCACAACTCACAATTAAATAAATAAAGGGTGTTTTTCTAGAGATATAGAACTTTAAATTGCAATAAAACAACGATGTATTATTCGATTGACATGAATTTTTTTTTATTCGAAAGATAATCTTGTGGCATTACATTTTAAATAGGATTTCTGGCATAGGACTGCCACGGCTGGCTCGGATGTAGTCCAATCTGGACGTCCAATTTTCGATGACTTTTTCCAACATTTGTGTGGCCGTATATCGGCAATAACACGGCGAATGTTGTCTTCCAAATGGTCAAGCGTTTGTGGCTTATCCGCATAAACCAATGACTTTACATAGCCCTACACAAAATAGTCTAGCGGTGTTAAATCGCAAGATCTTGGAGGCCAATTCACACGTCCAAAACGTGAAATTAGGCGGTCACCAACGTGTCTTTCAATAAATCGATTGTGGCACGAGCTGTGTGACATGTTGCGCCGTCTTGTTGGAACCACAGCTCCTGGACATCATGATTGTTCAATTCAGGAATGAAAAAGTTAGTAATCATGGCTCTATACCGATCACCATTGACTGTAACGTTGTGGCTTTCATCGTTTTTGAAGAAGTACGGACCAATGATTCCACCAGTCCATAAAGCGCACCAAACAGTCAGTTTTTTCTGGATGTAACGGTGTTTCGACATACACTTGTGGATTAACTTCACTCCAAATGCGGCAGTTTTGTTTGTTGACGTAGCCATTCAACCAGAAGTGCGCTTCATCGCTAAACAAAATTCGCTTATGAAAATCGGGAACAACGGCAATTTCGTTTTGGGCCCATTCGACGAATCTACGCCTTGCTTGATGATCGTTTTGATGAATTGCCAAACCAAACTGAGAATAAATCACTTGACAGCTGTTAAATCGGTCGCCATCATGGAAAGTAATGCCAACTTAAACTTCTATACCTGGGAAAAAACACTCTTTACAAACAGATAAAATATGAAAGAAATATGTTCTTGAACACACATTACTCTTAAATAAAACTTCATACACTAATAGAAT